ATATGACGAAGCTGCTTTCATTGTTTCTACATATCTTCTGAAACTTAAGGATGGAGTCTTATCCCCATTAACTACTCTTGAATTCATTTTAGAAACTGCAACGTGCGCAACTGGCGCAGCAGCAGCAACAACAATTACAACAACGACGTAGTCAGACTGCTGTAACTAATTCAGCACTTTTGGCAGCACAGCAGCAGCAAGCTGCACTCCTTTTACAACAGGTACTATTTAAAAGTTGAGGTTTTAGTTTCGTTTTTGCATTTTCAAAGCATAAATGCATCTTGCTTTTCAGTTATTCATGTTTTTCAGTTTTGGGAATATATGTAGTGTGAAACCAAATACTAGTAGTGTTGTTTTAACGTTCGTATTTGGTTGTGTTCGATAATTTAAAAGAATTTATAGCAAAGGATAAGGGCAGCACAAGCGGTAGCTCATCAGCAGCAGCAGGCAAAGATGTCTTCGTTAATAGGAAATCCAAGTCTCTTGGCAGGTAACGAAATATGTGATTTCCGATCAGTGTTAGAAATAAAAGAGTTGTATGTGATCATTTGTTGTCTTCCAGTTTTATTCGAAAAAGATCTAGTTGTCAATTTTCAGTTTTAAGTAGATTCTCAAAGCCCTTAACCATAAACTGTGATATTTTTTAGCAATGCAGCAACAGTTGCAGCGTGCTGCTGTTAGCGGAATGCGTACTCCGGGGTTGTCTTTATTCGCCCAACGCGGAGTGGCTACCGGAATCCGTGGACCAACTGTGGCCCAACACACAGCCGCTTCACTTGCTGGACGTATTAGAGCACCACCGCAAGTATTTTTTTTATATGATTTCTGATGACATGTGCAAGTTAATATCATATAGTTTTGTTTATATTATAGTAGTCAAAGCTTGTTGCTTGTGCTACATATAAAGAAAGCTGAACATTATCTTAATGTTATGTGTTATCATAAATTTATTGCGAAGCATTTTTAGTGCAGAACCCTCATGGTCTTTATCTATGTTGTTCGGTCTAACTTTCTTTCTGACGAGAGATTTTTTGTGTTTATCAAAATAATTTGGAAATTTTCTCAAGCTAAGTATGAAAAAAGATGGGGTTTTAATAAAACGTATTCAATATTCCTAAAAGAGAGTTTGGAGCAATCGTTGCTCTCATTTGAAGTGCTAAATTGTGAGAATGTCTGAATTGCAACGTAGGAGCTTATATTTTTCAGAATCTTTGTAACGAACCATCTTAATATATGTGCTTCATCCACTTTTTTAGGCGAGTGAAGTTTCAAGTCAGGGTATTCGGATGGAGTGCCATGCACCATGGACAAAATCAGTAGTTTTTTGTTTGTAGGTTCCAGCATCTCGTACACAATTAGGTGGAGTTGTATCCTCTGGACATAACAACAATGTTTGTGAAATCTGTGATCAGAATGTCCAAGATAGGGATCGATATCTGACACATTTACAACTCTTTCACAAACAGATGCGTGGGAAAACATCAGCTGATATGCAGCAGGTAAACAAGCATTTCATAACACAATGAATACAATCTGTTGTTCCCAGTTTGCACAAAAATATATCTATTTTCCTCCTTCAATCTTTTGTTTTTATTCATCGCATATATTTCATTATAATCTGTTTCAGGGTGCACCATTGGCATGTAGTCGTTGTCGTGATAGATTCTGGACATATGAAGGACTGGAACGACATCTTGTCATGGCACATGGCCTTGTCACTTCTGATCTCTTAACAAAAGCGCAGAAAAAAGAAGATGGTGGGCGTTGCAAGCATTGTGGCAAGGTAATATCTGTTCCTCAGTACTCAACCTTGTTTCCGTTGTTTAAATTTGAATCGATAGTTTTTTCATTAAACATCATTTATTGCTTTTTTAGCATCTTTTTTAACTGATATAAACATTAAACTCTTTCCAGCAGTATGCATTCAATATGTTGCAACATTTGGTAACGGATCATCAAGTAAAATTATGTTCTGCTGAGATTATGTACAGCTGCGATGTTTGTGCCTTCAAGTGCAGTAGCTACAGCAAACTCGAAGTACATTTGAACACCGTACATCCTAAAAATCCTACTCAAAATTCCGTTTTGAACAGTGCAGTTAGCTCAACATCGGGTAATTTTGATTTGTTTAGAATTCACTCCATTTACCTTAGATATGTGAACATTGCTTTGATGTTGGAAGTTGTTGGAAATTGTTGGAAACATGTTGGAAGATTCAGCTTTGCTTATTAGCCAGTTGTGTGTTGCTGTGCCCATGCTTAGCTTGTCGAATTCATGGCCTGTTGCATGCTTTTTGTTCCTCATATTTCTGGGAAACAAATATGCATAGTAAAGTTGGATTTGATATCTGACAAACCTACTTTGTCTTTAATTCTCTCACAAGTTTAATTTGCATGTTTTTTGAGGTCGGGACACAGTTTAAAAATATAGATTCCTTCTACGACGCAATTACTTTCTGTTCAGTTATTTTGTTTATGTGCTAACCGATTTTTTTGCTCGCAGATTTTTCGTCTTGATCTGACGGGAGATAAGTACTAAAGACAGAAACGAAGATTTGGGGAAATTTTGGACCAGATCTGGACAGATTATCTCGAAATTTCGAGTGTTAATAATTGGAACTAACGAAAATAAAAATGTCATGCATGAATTGCACCGATGTTTTCGATCAAGTGATTCATCACAAAAAAGTGTATGATAAAATCTTGAAGGCTTAGAAGGATGTACATGATTGCAGTACTTCGTTTTAACTCGCTGTCTGATTGGAAAAAACAATACTGGACGATGAGGCGAGAAAAAGTTAAGTATTGTAACATTTACTTCTATGAAAAACACAATTCGCAGCTCGGGGTTATGCTTTACGGAGTCGACCAGAACAGGCAACTTATGCAGCAGGTTTGTTTATCCCAAAAACTTCTTGTGAGGGTTAGTTTTAAATTTCTTAGGTAAGTACGCGTAGTCTGAGCTGAGCATATTAGAAATTAGGACTAATTTGCTTGGTAAAATCAGATTAATGAATCAGTAGTTTTATATGTTTAGATAGAACTAATGATTCCTGTAGTAGTTATGTAATATTTATTTTGTAGCTTTCATATTTGCTATATCTAAAAATTGTCTCGGAAAATGTTAGGAAGATTTTCGAATGTAAGGAATTTGAAATTGATGACATAGAGACAGTCGTGTTAAATATGGTTTAGTGGCACTCGAATTCTAAGTTTGCGCAGACTTGTCTAACGTTTTTTGGCAATGGAAGTGTGTTCTTATTAATTAACGTTGTGTTTCACCAAAGCACCTGAAGCAGCAGCTATCATTAACAGAAAACGCCATTTGTGCTTTTTTTGTTCTCAGCATGTTGTTAACAGTTTTGATTATGCACTCCTTTTATATGGCAAAATTCAAATTGATAATGCATTAGTGTTGCTTTATTTTTCCCATGAATGCCTTGTGTAATTGTGTTTCCGATAGTTTTTTTTTTTTTTTTTTTTTTAATATTATTAAACTATCTCCATGCTTACTAAAACACAGTTATACAACAGGAATTTTGCCGAGTTGAAATCAACAGATAGTTAAGTGTCTGTGATTCACTTGTAGTCATTCACTCGAGGGTTTCATGCTTTTTTAGCATTTTTTTTTCTTGATCAAAATCCTGACGAGATGTTTGTTGGATGCCAGCTTTGTTGACTGGTCCGGTTTTATCAGACCTGATAGCTTTAGTTCATTTACTTGGAATTGGGACTAGAACAATGTCGCGAAAAACACATTTTGATTCCCTCCTCGGTTGTATATTTTTAACTTTATATGCTTTGAACATTTAGTTCAATAACCGACTGTGAAACTAAGGGTTTTCTTTAACTGAAATATTTTTAGGAGCAAGGAAGGTTTAACTTTTTGGGTCGCAGACTGTTCAGGCCAGAGAGACATCGGTTGGTATCTTTTCGAGCTGAGGGATTATTATTCGGTATCCGGTGTGCTTGAAAAGAAATATTACTTTTTCTGATTTTGCTTCCCGTCATGCCTCAATATCCTGTTACTTATCTGTGCAGCAGTTACCTGCATATCAGTTGAGGGTGAGTGGTTTCGCTGATCGGAATAATGTCGAAAATATTTGTGGCTGAACAAAATGGAATTCATTTGGTCAGGAAATTTGTTATTCTCTCTACCTATTTCATTTTACAGTTGTGTGTTTCAAATGAAGTTTTGTTATTGAACTATTGACAATACGTCCGTTTTTCCGCTGCGAGAATCAAAATCATTCATTTGTGACATTTGTTGTTTGACGTGAGAATTATTTTATGGATAACCCTATAGGATCAGTTGTTTAAATGTCACTATTCACCAATTTTCTCAAGTGTATTTTGGAGTATTTTTATTGCTGATATATTGATTTTATACATCTCCTATTGTGTATAAGCTATATTATTTTCGATTTCCATCTGCGATGTGTTTGTACGTTTCATGTTATTGTTTGTATGTTCAATATCATGGTGTTTTGTATGCAAGCCTGATTCAGGAAAAGGTTGCATTTTTGTTCCAAGTTAAAACTGTCAAATTTTAAGAAGTGTTTTTGCGGAAGGAATCTGTCATTTAATGATAACAGTTTGGAGTCTGGACATTTTTATTCACCACAATATTTGAAAACTGTGCTATTTTGTATTTGTATCAGTGTGGATTTTGTTCTTTTGTTTGGTGACGCTGCCTTGATAATGAGTTCGTAATTGCAGCTAACAGCAGGAAACTAAGACGTTCTATCACCGGATGTGAGCTTGCATATTTAAGTAGAGGAAGTTCTGATCATTTTGGCTTACAATAGATTCCGAATAACATTTAAAGGGTTTGATGAATAATGAAAACAGTTACTGTGGTATGAAAATTTATTGATACGAATTATACAGGACGAATGTAGATTGCGGAGACTTGGAAATTTCAAGGCATGTTACACCTTCTACATAACGAGTTATGTGAATATTGGACCACGTGCATTTTTATAGTCTAGGAGTAGGCAGCTATTGCCGATCCTTTTTTCTAGCTGGGTAACGCCACCAATATTCCGCTACTGCCTGAAATAGATTGGAATGATGTACAAATAATATCGAACAGGTTAAACGTGTCCTCTGAAATGTGGGACAAATGCATACAATTGGTATATGGTCAGTCTTTCGCATGACAAGGCTTGAGTTACTAAGTCATATGTTTGAAAATTCAAGAGCTGGACCAAAGATGAATCGTGTGCTTACCGTGTCTTGTATTAAATTCCCATATATGTCATATTTTACAACTTCCACGCGATGTAAATTGACAAGAACGTATAATGGATAACACCAGAAACTGGCACCCCAAAAAACATGTGTCCACTTTGGCTAAACAAACAGAAATAAAAGTAGATTAACATTAGACGAATAAATGTGAAAAGCATACTTGGCAGGTCTCAGCGGGTCAACTGCAGGTGTTCGGGATTTGGAAATTTGAAACAACTGGACTGTTATTTCCCGATCTTTCACTAACCAGTTTCATTCCTGCAGTTGGTACATGGAACTTTCACACGTTGTTAGGAAGAGATACAATATTCAGATTGCCTTGTCGGAAAAACAATGCGTCCTCAATAAAAGCGCCGTACTCCTCCACTTCAGTCTAATTTAATTCAGCACCTGGAACAATATCAGCCATGAGTGCAATCCCTAAATAAAGTCTCATGTTTGGCCCTATTGCAAAAATCGTGGACAATATGTAGCCTCGAAATGAAATTGATTTTCTCAAAGCGACAACTTTCGGCTTGCACGAAGAATTGTCATTTTTCTAAGTGCGCAGTAATGACTACTTCCATTTTGTAATAGTAATCAGAACTTTTGACTTCCAGGTAAGCTGACGAAATTGTATTGTATACTGTTCATATGCAGGCGGGATGAAGTGCTGGACAAATGGCTGAAATTCTTTTTTGGAAGAAGGGTTTCCAGATGCTCGATAGTATAATCTTGAAAAAAGGCAATACCAAGTAGTTGACTAGCGGTTGTGCAAGAGATCTGACTAGGACTAGGATGATACATAAATGTAGAATATCGCATAAACGAAAATTTCTCCAGAAAGTCTATTTGAAGACGGCTACTTAGTGTTATTTGGTAATGTGGGTCATAAGATCAGTGAGTTTCATAGCGAGAGTACGTTCCCATAACTTCGTTGGAGATGGTGAAATCATCGGCTGCGTTTTACCACTCCGGATTGTTAAAGACTTTAACCTGGCTGGAATAAGCTTCATTCGTGGTTTGGGTGTGAGGAGTCAATGACGTATTTCTTTGATGTTATTATGACTTTATTGGTTCCAGGTACATTCGTCATGGATGTAAAGCCAAACCACACTATTTATATCAACAATCTTAATGAAAAAACGAAAAAGGAAGGTAGGTTCGGCCCTTTGAATAGCTCTTCCGTTGTAGTTCTGATGTGCGCAAGCTGAATGAAAGCAGTGTGAGATGTCTTGGAAGTTTTCATTGAAGAGGTAATTTACATTTACTATAACATAAATTTTGTGCTATGAGATTAGTAAAGTATACTTTTTTCAGAGCTCAAGAAGGCTCTTTATGCAATTTTTTCTCAGTTCGGGCAGATCATTGATATAATGGCATTCAAAACATTGAAGATGCGTGGGCAGGTTTGTTTTATTCTTAGTGTATTTTTACGCTTTAAAGATAGTTCAAACCCTATTATATATATATATATATATATATGCGAGATGTTTTGTTCTGATCCTTTCATTTTATGTGTTTATATGTACAATCGCAATTATGTATTAAAATGCGAATATGTTAATATCTTATAGCTCACCTTCACCTGTTCGCTTATATATGCAATAAGCAAATACATTTCTGCAGGCACATGTAATATTCAAAGAAATAAGTTCAGCAACGAACGCCCTGCGTGCAATGCAAGGCTTCCCGTTTTATGATAAGCCTATGGTAGGCCTGACTTCCTATATTAGGACCTTCTACGTATCTTCTACGTATCATCAGTATTTCTTATATCTACATGACGTTCTGATTTAATTTTTGCAATTTTTTTCATCTGTGGTTTTTCTGTTTTAACATCACGATAGTAAATCGTTTGTCACTCCCCATCTTCAAACATTGTAGTCCTTTAATGAATATAGTTTAAGTACCAGAATACTTAAAATATTTCATTTTGCAGCGCATACAATTTGCGCGCGAAGATTCTGACGTTATTGCGAAAGCGAAGGGTACGTATATTGATCGTCCAAAAAAGCATCTTCTTGCTAAACAAGCTGCTGGAGAAAAACGGAAAAAAACAAGCCATGTAAAAGAGAATAAGAAGGTAGAGTTTCGTTGATATATATATGTACATATATATATAATATAAGTCTACTGCACTTAATTTCATGTAGATGCGTATGGACAAAATCGCTACTGGTAAAACTGAGCTTCCGGAAAAAGCAAATCCTCCAAATAAAATCCTCTTTTGCACAAATCTGCCTGAAGAAACAACAGAGCAAATGCTTTCCCTTCTTTTCAATCCGTAAGTTTTAGTCATAATCTTTCCATGATCCAATTCTTTGATTTTGAAAAAATGCAGTACAACAGAGCAGTTCTTGCTGTGCTTATTTGGTTTGTTTGTTATTGGGAAGTATTAGTATTGTGTTGCATGAATTGAATTGTTTCATTAATGCTCTCAATTAACATTAATTTGAAGTGCAGTATTTGAAATAAGTTCTCTTCCTTTTTTTTACAGTTACCCTGGTCTGAAAGACATCAGACGTATACCGAATAGGCCAGATATTGCATTTGTTGAATTTGAGACGGAAGCCGAAGCAACGTCAGCTCGTTCTGGTTTGAACAACTTTAAGATAACGCCTTCGCAATCGATGTATGTCAATTATGCGAACAAGTGATTTTCCTAGTTGCTTCTTTTGTTTTGTTGATCTCTGGGGTATCTATGTTATTCTCTTGTGCGGTTGCTTTCATTTATCATAATGTTGTCGTTCAAATATGTTCAGTTTTCCTTGTTTTTATCTACGTAGTTTAAATTTTAATTTCATGCTGTTTAACAAAGCACTTATCAATTTCATACCCTTTTGCGAACCACTTATTAAACTTTATTGCTTTTTGAACCATTTATAAAATAAAATTCTATAAAAAAATGAAGTCTATTGATCTCCCATTTTGATTGCGACCAAAATAGCAGGGCACTGCATCCTTACCGGTTGTTAATTTTGATTATGTTTCGTTAATGTGCGAACCAGGAATTGGAGTCTTTCGAAATTTTTAATGTTTAGTTAGCATAGCCATTACTTTTCAAAGAAAGTTTGAAGTGATATATGTGGTAACGAAAAATATTTTAAGGTGTAGTACTTAAGATTTAGTCGAGATGAAAATCCCACTGTCCTGAAGATTGATAGATTTTTCCTGGGTATATTTCAAACTCTTATCCTTCTAGCGTTCTATATTTTTGGGGCTCATAGTTGGTGGTTCATTTTTAAACCACTGTCTCCATATCTCTTTTTTCAGTGCCACTGAAACGTTATTAGTCAAGTTTCGCTTCGAAAAAAAGACTAAACTTGTGAGTTTAGCTTTTCTGAAAATGAATTTATTTCGGCTAGTTGTCCCCTCACGTACTTTTTGGTGAGTGTGACTTTTCGTTTTATGGATAACTGTTTATTATTAAAAAATTTAAATTGGCTATACAAGCCCGTATTCAAACCGTCAAATAGCAGCTTGTTTTTGTTTCCAGTAAAATCAAAAAAAAGTACACTGACACTTTGGATTGTTGGAAATGTCGTAAAGCTATTGAGTGTTTAAAGGTACGTTTCCATTTTTTAAAAATCACTGGCCAAGCGAAGATATTCTTAACGTGTAGGGAGATTTTAATTTGCTGTTGGGATATTCTTAATGTGTAGATTTTTTAATTGTTCATAGCTTTCCGCTCACTTACTTATGCTGTTTCATTTTATTTTTTTGTTATTTTGATCATGGACAAGCAATCATTGGTAATTACATAAATCAGAGACCAATTTACTTATTTTTGTTATTGTTTGTCTACTTGAATGAAATTCCTTTTTGATTCGCTTTTGTTGTAGTGCAATTTCAAAACATTATTCAGTTTACCAGGATGATCTGTTGAACTAAAGAATTTTATAACGGTTTAGTGTAATAATTCGCCTATATCATTTTACGTCTCTAAAGTGGATATTGCTTGTTACAGGAAAAGTTGTTCTGCCCACTGTGTTCAGCTATACAACCAGTTGAAGATAGAAATTATTTCGATTATTTGGGTCTACTTCCAAGATTTAACGTTGATCTTTCTTTATTGAAGATAAATTTTCTCAAATTGCAGTCATTTGTTCATCCTGACAAATTTTCGAAATGTTCACAAGTAACATTTTTAAGTCGTATTTTGTGAGAAACATTGTTACTTTTATTCATTTCTGAGAACTCATTGTGGATTTCGATAAATTAATTTGTTTGTATGATATTTATAAAAGTAAGAATATTTATAATATTTATAAAAGTAGATAATGTTGATTAAAATTTTTTATATACATGATATTTATAAAAGTAAGAATATTTATAATATTTATAAAAGTAGATAATGTTGATTAAAATTTTTTATATACATGATATTTATAAAAGTAGATAATGTTGATTAAAATGATTGTGATCAGGTTTATTCAAGTCCGGTAAGAATCCCTATCAGTTTCGTTGAAATTTTGGCATTTGCTTTGATTTCCTCTTTTCTAAAATTCATAGACTAGTTGTAAATTCTATCGTCTTGTGTTCATAACATTTCATTAATCATTTTGCAGAAGGAGAAAGAAATATCTGAAAATTGCTCACGATATCTCAATGAAGCGTATAAAACATTGACCGAGCCGTTGGAAAGGGCGAAATACCTACTCACATTGAAAGGAGAGCCATTGGATGACAAAGGTAATTTAACTTTGTTAAATTCGTTTTGATTAATATTAAAGGATTCGATCTTCACTTATAATCTTATAACAATTTCCCAGATCTTGTGCAGTGACTTGCCAAGTCATGTGTTTTCTTGAAATCCAAGAAAGACTTCCGAAGGTTTAAATTTGTTTTCATCAGTTATAAATTCGATAACCGGTGGTACCATTTCTAGATGCAGTGGATAACAAAGATTTCTTGATAGAAATGATGGAACTAAATGAACTGGTAGTAATAAGCAATGATACGAATGAACTGAATACGTTGTTGGATGAAGTGAAAATTAAGATTCATTTGTTAGGAAGAGAATTTGCGAACAGCATTGAAACAAACGATTTTAAAAAAGCAAAAGAAGCTGTATTCAAACTGACATTCTATTATCGTTTGAAAGACGGTTTATCAAGCAGAATGTTCAATAATGAATAAATCGTTGTTTATGTTTTGCTCAAAAACAAAAGTGAAGTGGACGACATGACATATGGAACATGAGGGTAGGGAAGAAGGTCAGAAATTGGCATGAGATGTATAATGTCTTTTGCCAACTTTGTTTTTTCTTTCATATTGTGAGGCGTCGATCAAGATTTCGCGACAAAATGTGGCTTCAAGCATTTCCTTTCGCAATGCTGAAATGGATTTAAAGGTTTAGAACGTATGTGGCGAATGTTGTTATAACAGCTTTTCGGTGTTTGGAAACAAAAAGTTGTGATAAAGGTTCTATTGATCGATGGAACTTATTTGCGATATGTGTCATCCACTAGCTGTTTTTTTTTTTTTGGTTGTAGGGGAAAATTTAGTAAGAATCTGACTGAAGCTGTATTTTAATAAAGATTTGATGAAGTCTATATGGTAGTATAAAGTTGAAAACAAATCGTAGCCATAGCGTGACTCTAGCTCCTGATACAGTGGTGTTCTATAGGACATCTTCATAAATGAGTTGATTCACAACCAGACACAAAGTTTCTTGCAGCATTCCAACAGTTGACACAAACATGAGTAGACTTATATCTCTAATCAGCGATATTTATATATTTTAAAAATATTTCGGTTTGCCTAACAGAATAATGGCCGACTGAATTCAGTGAATGATGCTATAATATTTCTGCTGTTCCAAGTCTGGTTACTAAAAAAGTGTCATTGATAATAAGTGGGATGAGGAAAGAAGTGAATCTGGTCACTAGGAACGAGGTGGTAGAAACGTTAGTTATTTGCGCTCTCTAGCTTTTCGTAGCCTTTTCCACCAGCTGATGTATACGAAATACAGAAGGCTCCTGTATGATATATGCACCAGATTACTTTCAGTAAATATATTTAATTGCATCAGTAAGTATAAAATTACAAACGTCATAAAACGTCTAGCGGTAAGTTACAAAAAAGAAGTTAAGCAAAACATTTCGTTTCCGGAATACTGGAGTTCCTCCAATTCTTCATAGTACTCTGGCTGGATTTCACATGAATAATAACGACACTTCTCATTTTGCGCCTGCCTTCCCATACCCGATAGTACAGAGGAGAGATATATGTGAACAAGGTGAAGATATCCTCAACTCGTCGTCACAGGCTAGACAGAAGAATAAGTCACAAAAGTATGCAAGAAATGCAAGGGGAACATCTGCCCACTCTTTCGTCAGAATGTAGCGCTTCATAAATGGTTGACATTCTCTTCCTCTTCTGCACCCACACCCACCCTTCCCCTTGTGTCTATTATAATATGTTCTCATTTGCTCACCCAAGGTTCTTCTCATCTGCCTTTGATCAGTCTGCCTATAGAGTAATGTCAGAGTAGAAGACGGACAAAGTTTCTGGAACAATCGATTGGAAGCTGAGAGCACTTCTCTCCCGCATTCATTCACCATTTTTAGGCTTAGTGTGTGTTGGTGGTTCCATTGCCCGGCGGAATTGGCGTGGATGTGACAATCTTCACTCCCTTTTTTTTACATTTTATACTTGCTGTCTGTAATTTTTATTAGATCGATTCATGGCACTGGGACAGTTTGGCTTCAAACTGTAGAGTTCTGATTGTTGGTTTGTAACAAACTTCCATTCAAAAATTCTCCATTGTAGTTCTCGGGTCGCTTCTGTCTCTTGTCGAGGTCTTACGTACGGTTCCGGAGATCATGTCTCGCTCAGTATTTGGTAAGTTTTGAGTAATTTAGTAAAGTTTTATCTGCATCTATTTTTATTACGAATGAATCTTAAATGGGGAAGTTCGGAAGGTTATTCTTTGTCAAAGGAAGTATTTGGCTTTAAATGGATTCATTATTTTATATATTTACCTACCATTCTAATAGTACCATAATTAAAGCGATAATTTCGAAATAATTCAGAAGTTATGAGTTAATAACTGTCATCGGACTACTCTTTTTCATTTAAAAGTATTGAAAAGGTTTGAAACTGCTTAATTATTTTTGAGGAAGTGTTTTTAAACTTCCCTGGTGAAAAGCGTCTGTTATGAATGAGTTATTGTTCAAATATATTGCAATACTTCGTCATTCTGGCATGGTTCACAAGACTATATTTGGGAAGTTAGGTTTGGTAGAGATTAGGACGTAGATTGCTTTTGCTCTAGACTTCAAGTCTTTGCAGCACGTTTTTTATTGCTGAGCTTAAAACAAATCGATATCCTCATACATTTTGGCCTAGATTATGAATATAGTTACTGCCAACCACTTGCCACTGCAGCACTACGTAATCTTCGAACTGTTCTTTTCCAGTTGGAAACTTGCCTTACAGTGCAAGAGAGGAGGATGTGGCAAATTTCTTTTGGCAAGTCGGTCCGGTAACCAGCGTGCGCATCGTGTTGGATCGGGACACAGGCCGTCCGCGTGGTTTCGGTTTCTGCGAATTCGAAACGGAAGCAGCGGCGGAGCAAGCTGTTGGAAGTATGAACCATGCGGAATTTATGGGACGTCAGCTTCGTGTCGATCGTGCTATTTCTCGATGAATGTTTTCAGCAGCTCTGGGCGTACACCTATTGTTTTGTTGTAATCGTCCCGTTTCAAATGTTCTTTTGCAACTCGGTTACTCTTACATTGGTGTAATTACAGTGTTGACGTATTCCGTGGCAGTTTATTTTTTTGTCACATCTTTGATTCTCTTTCCAGTACAAATGTGACTTCCCTGTTTTGAGGCGTATTTTCAGAAATAAAGATTACATTTTAAGATACAAATTGAATGATTTTGTGAAGCTACGATGTAATCGTGTAGTAGACAATGTGCAAGTACTTTTATCTATTGCGGTACTAGCTGTTCAGATGCAGTGGAATTTAAACATTGCGGTGTGCGTGATGGATCAGGGTTCTTCATGGTTGGGTGGAGACCAGGGTCGCCACATTGTTGCGTCATTATTCGACGGTATAGTCCTCCAACTTGGTAAAACCAATTTTGCAACAATGGTTAGCTTGCTTTCGTCATGTTAGACGATTTGGTGTTAAGCTTGGGTTGCTGATAAGGCCGAATAGTACGAGTATTATGTTCAAATCCCGCAGTCAATGGTGCTATGAGGTTCGTTGCGTGTTGGTGTATCGCTGTGCTTTGTATCCGTATGTGTCATTCTGCGCAAAAGAAAGATTTGCAGATATTTCGGTTACTGTTTTTTCATTGGTGGCCATGAGCGGAATAAGTCTATGTCCGTCTCAAATAGCCAAGACAGACTGGGACTTCAAGACTGAGTAATTGTAACGGACATAACTGCGGTACTTCTACAAAATTTGGTACCCACTTTTATGTCACTGGAGACGAGAAACGAAAAAAGCAAGACATGAGGTTTTTTCATCCAAGAAAATTTTTTTTTACTCACATAAAGACACAGGATTACAGAATCATTTAGAAATAAGCGTTTCCCTTCATTTCCTCTTCAAAACTACTAGTGAGTTCCCAATGTTCTAATAAATCCTTACGTGTCTTATTTGGTACTGTTCTCCCTGTTTTCCAAACAGCTGGGTCACTCTATAATCTACAAGTAGTGAGGGAAAGACATCTAGAATCTGGTCGAACCAATGACAAATTATATTACATTTTCGCCGGTGTTCTGGTCAAATAATTTTCTAATGAATTCTTGGGTGTCTTATTAGGAGGCACTGTTCCCTTCGCCAGCCTTTTTTTTGGTATCTTATCTTTCGGACTTCCACATTTCAACGTTGTTTTATTGGCGTTTTGAGCGTCTTGCAGTTCACTTATCACTTGCCTGGAAAGAGAGCATTTATGCAAGAAGTGACTAAAATTATATAAATTCCAGTCGAACCTCATGCCTTTTTCATTACATAAAGCCGTATTCGTTAGTGTTCTTATCACAGTAAAAAACAGAAATACTGAGTTCATGTCGATTTCCGAACCTATTCAAACATTCATCAATATGCTGATTCACCAAACTCAGCTCCTTCGGCAGTGTGGTTTTGCAAATTGGGCAAGGCTGTGGTTGATCCAAATAAACCATTTCTCGGGAAACATCATCTGAATCTTCACCGTTGCTATCGAGTTTTAAAGGTGGAAGTAGAAGACTGTCATTTGATGCATCACTAATGTATCCTATTGATTCTCTTCGCTTCCAAAATAAGCACAGCGGATATGGCGATTCAACCTCATAAAATGTGGCATTAAAAATTGAAATAACCTATATAACAGATGTACACATAAAACTCTACAAGCATACTTTCTCATTTTTGAAGACCAAATGCGCTAATCGTACACCCAGCAGTCGCAAATACTTATCACTGTCATGACCGTCATGCATTTCTCTACGTACAAATTTCGAACACAAAGCAAATAAACGGTTTACATCACAAATCATATAGTCCACGCTGAAAAACTACAGTCGACAATTTCAGTTTTTTTTTTTTTTAAGATTTGAGTAACTAGTATGAAAGGTTCCACTTTATTAACTAAGGAAAAGTTGGAGTCCATCATGAAAGTTCAATACCTACAGCACCGTGTAATTACATCAAACGTTGAAAATTTCATTTTTACAGTAACTGTTCGTCCTCCTCGAATTCCATGACTGGGTAAAGAATTAATAAGTTCGTTGCAAAGACTTTCCAACGTCTATAATTTAGAGAGAGTCATTACCATAAGGTTTTCAAGTCCTAAAGACTGAAGGGCGTAAAATGCTCAAATCTCATCACCTTCTAAACTCACGGACTTCTAGGTCTTACAAACTTTAACCAAAACTAAAAAAATATCTGCAAAGCATTTCCTCGAGAAGAGCTCCAAGGTCTCCAGTAGGATGGAATGTTCGTTCTGTACTGATACTTTTCCGTCTCATTTTTTGATCAGCACTGAACACTTGAGATATACCAAGAGCAATTCGCAAAAAATATTCATAACTGCGTTGTGTAAAAAGCAAACTAATTATTCCGCGTCGCTCATAGAAGTCAACACATTTTTCCAAACCTATCCCTTTTAGAACTGCTTCCATTACAGGCCCAATACCGCTTATCTAAAATAATAAACGCGAACTGGTCCTGTTTATATTAAAATAACTTTTAGAAACAACAGAAAATAAAGTAACACGCACAGTTTTACTATAAAATTCAATGGATTTATAAAATTACCTTACGTATTGGAAGATCCTTCAAAAAAGTTAAAACGGCTTCCCTTTCATTCAGCAGACGATACTGCCCGTTCGGTTTATTGATATCGGAACATACTTTAGCTAACAGAGAATTTGGCGCAATTCCTACAACACTTACTGGCTTACATGAAACAAATGACAAAGAATATTCTCTCCTAATAAAACTAACGTTGAAATTCCGAACGACAGCAGCAGCATGTATGAGCTAATTGACCTCATAAACTCACTAAACTAAGTTTCTATCTTCATATCGCAGACTACTGCTTAAAACACATTCTGCCTGCGTACTTATACTTGCTTTTTTCCAATAAATTATTGAATATAGCAACTACTATAAAAGACTAACGCTGACGTACCTGCACTACATGTTAAACCCACTGCTTGTTCTACTCTGAATCGCATTTCACGAACAACCTGCAAAGTTGTTTTGCCAGAAAACATATTTTCAAATGACATTAAAATGTTTTTTATATGAACAAAAAAGAAAACTATGGAACAGTACTTCATCAATATCCACTCCGAAAGTGATGTGGTCTCGTACACATTTACGTAGTTTTTTACATTTTGTGCATATTTCTTCAGTAATTTCAGCCTTGTTCAAGTGATGTATCTCATTTTCTGCAACCAAAGGTAGTCGACAAACGCACTCACCCATATATCGAATTCTTTCGTGCTCAACTGCAAAGTGGATTTTAAAATAAGTACAGAAAAAATGATCGGTAGCATAACAACCAAGTATTGTACCTGAGCCAGTGCGGAATCGATTTTGGATGTAGGTAGTTAAATCGAGATATGCTTCATCCAAGCCATCCGCATAAAAATCAGGATCATAGTCTCTAAATATTTTCCTAGCCTGAAAAATAAGTGCTGCTTATTTTCCGGTTATTTTATGAAAACATTTCGCTTCCTTGAATTTAAAATTCTTCAATGATCTGAAAACGCCCACCACTGAACTTGCTTCTCGATATTTGTCAAAACAACCATGAACAATTCTTAGTTGAGGGCATAACTTCTTTGCAATGAAACCGGGCATAGCAGAACGGACACCAAAACGACGAGCGGCATAATTTGATGTACTCTGGAAAAGCCACAATTGCAGAATAGTGCAAAGTTCATATAATAATGCCCTCAAAACGTCCATTAGATTTTAACTTCTGGTTGAAAGTGATGCAGCGTAAGATGCTAAATTCATTTCACGTTTCAATATGCTGCATAAGATAGTGCAGAATACTGAAATATATAGATTTAATTCCCTCTTAAGAAACTGTTCCAAACAGGTAATGATTAAAAAGACATTGTCTTATAAGAACTAAATCTTTATAACGCAAAGAACTATTAACTACACAGGTATATAAAGGGAAAAGAAACTAACTGATAGGAAACATATTTCATAGAAAGGCCAAACAATTGTTAAATCTGTTGTTCTATGAACTGTAGCACAATAATACAAGTTGTTTCAGAAAAAAATAATATAGGATACACTGTAATCAGATGCATAAATGAATCAAAATACTATACATACAAGCATTAAATTCGAACCCACTGCCATTGGAATATTGCGAAGTGAAGGATCATCTCTCATTTCAACAGCTGCATAAAATGCATCCATATCAACGTGAACAGCATAACGGGAAAGGTCGCGTTCTTTTTCCAGCAGGTCCACCAAAGCATCCATCTAAACTATGCAGTCTACAATGCATCACAAAGTATGACCTAATAAAAATTCACTATAGGATGAACTAGAAAGACAAGTAAAACTAACTTCAGCTTGAGCCTGGAGAATCTGATGTGGTGTAAATTTTGCCATAATGTTATTGTAATATTTTATCCTAGCATCGATTCTCTCTTTCTTTTTCTTTGTATATCCTTCGAAATTTGAGCTAGTATTTTCATTGATTATTTTCTGGATATGCTCCTAAGAATATTTTCGCAATCTTTATTAGGAAGGAGCATTTTATCCAGATGGTTATTTATAAACAACTGTGAACGAAATCATTTAAGCAGTGCAACATAGGAACATAGAGAAGGTGCCACTAAATATTTTTTTTTTGCCCTTTTTGTTCTACGTGTGGAGTATCTACCGTAAAGGCACGAAAGGGAGCAAAATTTCCATTTGAATAGCACATGTAAAATGTATGTAGGAGTGATATAAGTCACTGGAAGAAACTTATAACCTAGGGATAAAGGTCACTCTGCAACAAGTGAACAGCGCTATACAGTCAGGAAGTAAGCTAAACGAGTGTTTCTATATCCGATACTTTTTTCTGTCAGGAAATTGAACAACAATTTATGACATCCATTATCACGAGAGGCGAGCCACACTGTCTTGTATCATTTGCACTAACTTTGTATGAAAAGGAAACCTTGTCAACGCCAACCATGCCGGTCTTGCTGTTACTGAAGGGCAGCATGTCTTACTTCACTTGTTACTTGCTTGCTGGTGGACCATATGGAAGTCGCTTAGACACATTATCAAATCTTTCACATAGAACACTGAAAAATGACCCATTTAACAAATATGCCATTCTTCTACTTGATTCAAAGAATTTTATTTATATATCTTTCCTCTTGCAGTCCACAATGCACCATCAGTCAAGATATTTTGTAATCGAAGCAACGATATCTTCATTGAACACTGTGCAAAAGCGCCAGAAAATCAATCCTCTCCACTACCTACCCTCAGGCTTCAGTAAAGTAACCTAAACTTATTTACGAATTTCATATCCTCCGACTGCTTAACCCTCTAGGAGTTTTAAGTCTATTTGTTACATTGGGAGTAGAGATTGTGTAATTGAGGAGACAACAGAAATCGATAAGAGTTGCGGAAAGCAGAGACTTGGAAGAGTTGGAGATGGAATGCTAACACTGGGAAAGCTTGGCAATGACAGTGAGGGAAGTTCGGGTAAACTTTTGGCTCTTCCACTTAGATCATCCTGCTGTCTTCTGTCTGAAAAGCCGGGTCAGATTTTTCCAGAACACTTGCTTAGTGGATGATTTTTAAAAATTGTGGGTTGTTTTGACATAATCACATTTCTATTTATATAACTTAGATAAAATGGACAGTTCGTGTGGTCTGTTTTCTTGAATCATCCAAAAAATTTCTCTGAAAAACCATCGTTCAGTCTGGGCCACATGCGGCAGTTTCGGTAATTAGATAATAATTCCATAATAACATAATAACATTATTCATTTAGGGGGAAGGCTCCATAAGCGGTAATAAAGTAATATTTGACGCGATATTGTTAAGAGGTTGTGATGAAGAGATGTAATGGTAGAATAGACTCTGACAAATAAAAATGTGTATAAGAAAGGACTGAACAGTAATGTGTATTTGTGACTATTTCCTGATTATTGCTTCCCCAGTTTCTTACAAAACAGATATTACAGGGAGAAAGCAAGTAAATTGAGCAAAATGATTCGTTCAGTGTTAGTAAGTTTTACGAATTGTTCCCGTTGGTTTGCTCTCTTTATCGTTTTCTTCAAGACCTAATTTCAATAATCTTTTGAGTAAGCAAAAGTAATAATTGTATACTAACTAGTTTTCAGGCTTCAGTGTCGCCACTTCGTCAGATACTTGCAAGTCAACTTTGCACGTCCTCTATTACGTTAGCTGGCATTCGACCTTTGGGTCCAAAAAACAAAGCACCTGATTTTTCTGTACGTATCCCAATAGCTATGTTTTTATCACTTTGTTTAACATTTAGTGACTGAAAGAATAATCATTGTATACAGCCGTTTTCAAGCGTATCATATTTCAGGGCACAGCAGTTGTAAATGGAGATTTTAAAACAATTAGCATGAAAGATTACAAAGGAAAATGGCTTATCCTGTTTTTTTATCCTCTTGACTTGTTAGTTAACCTTCTGTCTATCCTCCAAAATTTCTCAGTTTTCCTTGGCGACTTCCTGGATTTCGTGAAGATTGCTATTATAGCCAGTGCACTGGTACAGTTGCATTGGTACAATGATTTATTGTATATTGATAATGATTTGTTTGTTAATTTATTAATTTTTCACCTTGGTCTTGAAATTGATGTTAGTTTCAGTACCTTCGTTTGTCCAACCGAAATTACTGCCTTTAGCGATCGATGTGCGGAGTTTCAGAAATTAAACACAGAACTGATTGCATGTTCGTGCGATTCACATTTCTCACATCTAGCATGGATTCAAACCCCACGTAGTGAAGGTGGTCTCGGTGACATGAAGGTTCCCGGTATTTATAAATTTTTACAAGTTTAAGTAATATTCCGGTTTTAATTTCAATACTCTTAAATAGGCTGGAAAGTTTCCTTGCAGATTCCAGTGCTTGCAGACTTTAATAAAGATATAGCGAATGCATTCGGTGTCCTTGATCATGAAACAGGTATCTCATATAGGTAAGATGCCATATCTTGACACTTTGTCTAGGACATTTTAGAGTTTTTTTTTTTTACAAATTCAAATGTGTTGTCTCTTAAACAAAACTGAGGATGTATCTCTTTTAGTTATTAATTCTTCTAGTTCTTTTCAGAGGTTTGTTCTTAATCGATCCAAGTGGTGAAATCCGTCATTCTCTCGTGAATGATCTTTCGGTTGGTCGTAGTGTGGATGAAGCATTTCGTACGCTAAAAGCCTTTCAGTTTGTGGAGAAACATGGTGAAGTATGTCCGGCAAACTGGTCCGATGATAAGCCAACAATTAAGCCCGGCATCAAGGAGTCCAAGGAGTATTTCAAAAAGGTCGATGGTCATACATAAAAAATCCAGTAGCACCTAAAAATGATTTATTTGGACGACGTGAAGTTCTTTTTTTTTTTTTTTGAATAACAGAGTTTTTTGTTTCTGTTTATGTTAAGGTTATAATTTAGTTGCTTTCTGTAGTTATATGTATGCGATTTACTCTAAATAATAAATATCTGAGAAAGGCTAATATCTGTTAAGTCACAGAATTCAAACACTACACGGCTGAATTAGTTTGGAGAAAGCACGTTTTTCGATGCATAATATGGTTCCTACATGAATCATGCTTGTTTTGAGTGAACTGCACTGGTATTTGGTTTAAAACCTGTGAGAATAACACATCAATTATATCACCAACTAAGGTGTAGGTAGCTTCACATAAGGATAGGAAGTTGTATTTCGAGTTTTAAAGTGGAATTGTTATCTTTTTATATGAGTTGCTCATTCAATATGGCAGACAGGGAAGTGATTGTATTCACACACAAATAATGGGAGGAAAAAGTTGTGGTAATTCCCGGGTTAAAACAGGATGTAGGAAACAAAAGAGAGGAGGGCTCTGTGTTGAAAACTGTTTGCAGGAGCGAAATTGTGGTTGTAAAGAGATGTAACAGCATGAAATGTGGTGTCCAGTTAACCAATTACGCTCGAAATCACCAGTCATTTTCGCCTTTGATGGCGCCAAATTTTAAAATATTGTAAAATACATAAGTACTTTGCTGATAACTGTGATTGAAATGTACCCAATGCATGGTGCATAAACAATGGCGGAACCAAAAACAACGAAAAGTGTCTTGCGCCGTATAAATTTTATTCGGGGGGTGTCAATGCCAGCAACCCAAATGTTTTTATTCTTTAAGATCAAAGAACGTGTGTCGTCGTCGTCTAGCAACTGGTCAGATTTCTGCTGGAAAATCCAACAGTTTTCAACATCCACCAAAGACTTCCCAACATAAATCCATTTGAGAAGTCAAATTGATCTGAAGAGTCAAGAAATATACCATGTTTTGAATAACTGGTCCGAATCAAGAAATATACCCATATTTTGAACTCTTCTACAGCTGCTATCCTTTCAAGTATTTTGTAAATCATTTATAATTCTCACTCAACTCTCTGCTGTTCAGTCGGTTCTCATTAAAAACCGACCACACTCAAACTATTTAATGTATAAATTTGTATACATTTTGAAGACGGTAATGTTGTCGAGAAATTGTAAATTCTTGTTAGTTCGTTTGATTTGAAGTTTGTGTAAACAAATGTGTTGAGAAGGAGTCTGTTCTGACGACTTTATTCGCTATACGCAAGTATTAATCTATAGCAACAATATACTGATAACTTCGTAGAATTTGAAAGTCTGCGAATGTGAGGTGAACAAGAAGAAATAAACTGAGGGAAAACCTAAGATTTAAATGAATGAAATTAAATGAGCGTAAAGGATCAGCAGATTTGTAACTTGCTGGTACGAAAAAAATGAATAAAATAAAGGATTTAAATCCATATATCGTAGGCAAACTGATTTGCAACAAGTGCTAAAGAGCTATCAGATGATCTTTACTCTTATGTAATAAGAGTTGGATTTTATTATTGTCAGTTGCTCATAAGAATGATTATTAGGTTAAAAAACCTCTGCAGTATTTCGACATTGCAGGCAAATTTGGCTTAGAACAAAGATGTAAATTTTAACATATTAAACAATGCACATGCCCTTTGTTAACAGTTGAAAAATTCTATACAAGCAGGTAAGTTCAGTTACAACGGGAAGATGAGTTTGCATAAATGATTGCTTACATGAGATGCAATTTGAAACAGTTTCAATTCTTGTTTAATGAATATTCAATTAAGATAATCATTAGTCCTGGATTTTTCTGACAAATGCCTCGTTTTTTAAAATTCAGCTGTTCTTATAATGGGGATTACTTTAAGTTGTTCCTTCTTTCCTCTGCATTCGTCGTATAGCATTTTTTATGTTTCTTGTTACCAAATGAGGCAATTCCTTATTTTCTGTTCTTTTTTTTAAGTTGATTAGTTCATTGAGATGAATGATAACTGTTACCCTGTATAGAACAGCATGAATGTTCCCGTTTCAATTTTTCAGATTTCTAGAATTATGACGCTGATTTCTTTACACAAAAGCAAAATTTTACCTTCTGGTCGCTTTTGATCAGTTACTGTGCTATTTGTTACTATTTCCATCCTTTTTTTTTCTTTAAGTTTTCTGGTTTAACGTCCTTGGAGTGGATAATACATAGTGTCCTTTGCAGTTCCTTAGTTTTCTGCAATCTTTTACTATATTGCTTCTTTGAAAACAATTTAGGCATGCTTCGATTTTTCTTAGATGCTCTATCCGCTGCTTGGCGGTGGGATAAATGGGATAAACTTAACACTCTCATCTCAACGGGCATTGCTGCGAAATGAACAAGGAAATCTTTTCTTAACTAAATGCTGGTTTGGACCTTCTTTTCTGATTTCTCCTGGAACTTTGTTGCCACTTGATCTCTGTGGTTTTGTTGCAAATAAAGCCGAAGTTCTTTTCCTTTTATCTCCTAGAATCGTCGATCTATGTCTGAATTGGATTCTGGATTTCTTTTCTTCTTATTACTAAAAGTTTGATTTTTCTTTTGCTAAACAAATAAGTCATTTTGTTTCTTGCAACCAGTTTTCCTAGAAAGTGCCGGAGTTTATTAACCGACCATAGTTCTTATTCCTCCTTTTGTTGGATACTTTATTTAGTATCCAAACAGACTATTTGTTTACAACAATAATTTCGGTGCTCGTCTGCTCTAGATTTTTTCCTATCGCTTCCAGCTGCCGAAGTATTCTTTCAATTATTTAGACAGTTAGTTTCTCTTCCCTATCGTTTTTCTTGAAAAAGTGCTATTCATTGTAGAGCAATTTCTTAATGATAAATGATTTTTCAAATTTCTCTTTCAAAACTTTCTTACAAAGTCATAGTTTTCTATGATGATGTAAGACATCTCTTTTAGTCAGGACATTAGATAATTCAATTTTTTGGAAATGTACTGCAGCATCAAAATTGCTCCAAAAATTCCTCCATAATCTCAGGTAACTGCTGTATATCGGTAGTGATAAATGAGGTAAATTTACTTTTGTGTGAGAAGCTAATCGGGATAGTTCTTGTTGACGGATTAGCTCTCTACTTGCGTACTCTTGGCTTAGCCACTGAAGACTAATCGAGTAAAGGCTGCTGTGACTAAAGACTGATCTAGACAGTGGATTTTTTTCTATATAGTCGACTTTGATTTCCAACAGGAGACCTTTAGATGAGTGAATAAATTATCAGGCATAATGACATTTTTACAGCATATTATCAATACACACAAGATTAATTGCAAATTGGAAATGTTTTATGATGATTCATGACACAAGTTTAAATGAAACAGTCGGTGATGTTAGAGTCATTAATAGTCTTTAGCCTATAGACTGCCATCTTATAGACTGAAACAATCAAAGAACAGCTGCAAGTTTATATTCAAACGCGAATTGAAAAGACACAATTCACTATTTGCCTCATCATGAAGTTATATCTCCTTATAAATCCATAACAAAACTTAGAGTAGTCCAAGATGCTTCTGCCCAACTTAAAAGAACAAGAAGTTTGAATGGAGCTTTATATAGTGGAACCATAATGCTTCCGGATTTATTAGCAATTGGAACTGCATCCTTACCACAGGAAGGTGAAAAAAAAAGTATTATATATTTAGTGACAAAAGAAAACCGAAAAATTATCGGTTTAAGAGAGTTCTTTTTGGAATTATATCGTCACCATTTTTACTACCGGCTACACTCAAGCACCGTGTAGAAACTATGGGAAGGCAAATCAGAAAATACTTATAAGTAGACAATGTTACATTGTCAATGAATGAAACAAAGGAACCAACGACAAAAACTTCAATAAAGCGATAGCCAAACACGATCGAATAGAGGAAGCATCAGCAAAAATTCTTAGCGTCATCTGAACAAACGACAGAGACACAGCTTGTCGCGAAATTCTAAAATATTAAAAATAATACCAATGAAAGTAAAATAAGGGTAGAAAATATGTCCGTGAACCCTTCGCAAATAATGCTTGTAGATAAATTTTATTTTAACCATGCTTATACTGTAAAACTTTGTCGTAAAAATTAAGGTTCCAGTCTGAATATAACTTTGTGACTTAGAGTCGAATTGAACTTTTGTATGCTCAACAGCCTTACTTGTTTGCTATTGTAGCTGGCATAAATGAATGCGTTGAATGATAGGTCTGTTGTAAGGATTTTATTTGTTAACAACAATAATATATAGGTATTAATATATAGGTAAATCTATAGCAGCAATATTGATAATTTTGTAGAATATCTACAAATGAAATGAAGAAAATGGATAAATGAATAAATTGGTCGGGAAATGAGCTGAATTGTGAGTGAGGAAGAGCAGCAGAATTGTAGCTTACTGGTAAGGAAAAAACTGATAAAACTGAGAAGTTGATTGAGACAAAAGGTTTAGACCCTTATATAGTGGGTCTGACTTGCAGCAACAGCATGATTATTGAGTATCAGATGATCTTTACTCTTTATATAGTAAGAGATGGGTTTTAATACTGTAGTTTCTTAAGGAATGACTATTAGCTTAGAAAACCTTTACAATATTTCGACATTGTAAGCAAATTTTAAAGAATAGTATGATAGTATGATTCTCACGAATCAAGAGGAGGTAAAACTCCTACAATTTTGTTATAGTTTCAAGGCGACTGTTCATGAGCAAAACATCCCAGACATTCAGAAGTTGAATTACGTGATATCTTGTCTTAAAGGAGATGCATTGCTAGCTGTGAGGGATTTTGATATAGCGCCAGAAACTACGATGTAACAATAGGTTTACTAATGGAAAAGTATGGTAAACTTTTCATTGTAAAAAAACCACTTTATAATGAACTGAATTCCACCAAAAGAAATGATCGTGATTGGAAAGCAATCGTCAAAGCCACAGAAGAGAATATTTTGACAGCTGGAAGCTACAGGTGG